CAGGAAACCAACCACTGAGGTCTTAATTTGAAGAACCGTAATGTATGTGAATATATGCGTGTGCATGGGTGTACATATGTATAAATAAGCTGTGTTGTGGTTCATGAAGATCAACAGGTTTTTTGTGATGTAACTCAAACAAGACCACCATGACTCATTTCAAAACTTTCTTTACAGATGAGGAGGCTTGCAGTTTCAAGAAAAAAACTGGCAGGTATATGACTGTTTCACTGTCATGAAGTTTCCTGACCCACATGCAGAATCACATGCAGGACTCAGAATGAATAATAAAGATTTTACTTAAAAAGAAAGTGAAAATAAAAAAAAATAAAAAAAAAATAAAAAACTGGCTTATATTTCAACAATGTTCTTGGGAGGATAGGAGAAGTTAGAACAATGATAAGGTTTAAGAAGATGAGTCATAATTTTAGAGGAAGAATGAAGTAGGCTTTCGGTTCCAGGTCGGAAGAGGGATGGTTGGTGTGCAGCAAAGTTTTGTGTGCCATAAAGGTACAGAACATTGGAGAATCAACAGGCAGGGCGAAGTTTGAAATGACAAACCAGTAGAGAACGACTTCTAGGTGGAATGTTATTCAGGGGACAACTGTCTCTGAGGTTCTTGGTGAATGGATCCATAGATTTGGTGATGAAACCAGAACTTGGGAACTGCTCCTTTTATCCTAGTAGCTAAAGAAACAATTGTGGCCAGGCATGCAGTTTGCAGCAACACACCCACAAACTCAGCATGTTTGGTTTCTGATAACATCTGATAACGTTTTTGGAAAGAGTTCTGACCTTTGATAGTAAATCTTATGAAGGACAGAGGAGGATACTGACTGGTAGAAGAAGAATGGGTAGAAATGATAGATGACAGGGATAAACACTTTAGTCCATTTTAACATCTAACTATGTTCTAATTTTAACTCTACTTTTGGCTTTTAGGGATATAACCCACTATGTCCAAAATAGATCTGTCCTTTCAAATTTATTGTCAGAGATGATGACAGTGGTCAGCCTTTTCAGTCAAACCATAATCATGTCGACCACCATAGAACTCCTACGTTAAAATTGTCCCTGGCAGAAAATCCCCAACTGGAGAGTAAACTCTTAAAAAGAAAACACATTTGTGACTTATAGAGTCTCACTTAACATCAAAAACCCACAGCCGTCCTGTGGATTTCCTGTGTGACATTTTGTTCTGTGACGACTGCGAAAACATTCTTACACTTTGTTTTACCAAATACAGACCTGGTCTGAACACCATACTGACGTGACAACAAGACATGACACCTCTTTCACTATGTTATCACATTACAGCCAAAGTGAATGCATTTTATTCAGCTATTATGTTCTGCATTGAGAGTAAAAAAACTGCATCATTGTGAAGAGGAAATACAAATAAAACTTTGATTTTGAATATTTGCACTAATTATCCCATTCCGATTCTCCAAAATAAAATAATTTTAGTATGTAATGGCACCAAATTAGAGTCCACTTGCTTGTATTTATTTCTTATTTGTTCAGTAAAGGCTTTCAAGGTCTGCTGAAAAAAAATGGTGAGTAATACACTTCATAAAGACATAGGAACACACCAGAAAAGTCAGGAATGAAGTTGGGGAAACGTTGAAAGCAGAATTGGGCAATAAAACATTATCCCATGTTTCAGATATATTATGAATCCCTTTCAGCATGTTCACCCTAAAAATGTAAAAATGTGGCACAGCCACAAACCTACCAATTCATTTCTGTTTGCCTAACCAGACAGGCTGGGCAAGGAGAAGCTGAATACAAATGAACACCACACTTTTCAGATTTGTACTTGTAAAAAAAAAAATATTGTGAAAACAGTATTTCCATTTTCTTTCTTCTTCATAATAATGCACTGATTTGTACTGATTTATTACATAAAATCCCAAATAAAATATGCTGTAATTGGTTGAAAAATGTAATGTGTATTAATCATTTGGCTTGATGCTTTTATGATGGTTGATGCTCTGATTGGTTAGTGCTGTTGGGTCACAATTACAGCTTCTTATTCATGATTCACAAAAAGTTTTAAATTTCCACTTTACGTTTTGCCTTGCAGCGTCTCATTAAATTCTGATGCATTGTCCACATTTTGTGGTAGGTATTTTAGAAGCATAATTAACTGACTCCATGACTAAAAGAGAAACCAGTCTGCAGATTATGATGTGGGCATTAAACCATTAATATATGTATATTAAAAAAAAACTGAATGAGAAGCCACATTAAACCTCTCGATTAATGTGTTGGTGTGCTTTTGAACATTTGCTTAAAATTCATGGCTCATATTTGACAATAGAATGGAAAACAAGGGGGTGTAAAATAAATTCTGCAGTATTTGGTTTGGTAGCATCTTCCTGTTTCCCGTAGCTTGCTGGTATTTCATGGCCTTAGTTTAGCACATGAGAAATGAAACTCTCCAAAAGTTCCTCATCCTGTCCCCCAAAATAAAAGTTGCCTCAGTGATTAGGGGGGGCCCTTTTTATGTCAGCATAATTTGAGGGTGGAAAAAAAGATTTGATTAAAATAAAAACTGAAGCATGTTGTTTAAGAGATTTTCAACTTGACCAATGAGACACTTTTAACACGGACGACTAGTAAGACTGATGTCTAAAAACGTAATTAGAGTGCATTACAGACCTTGCTTTGAGTTTGGTTGACTTAAGGTGTTAACTTTTACTGTGATGAATGTGCACAAAGCATGAATTTTTGGTAATATATGCACCCTCTGGCGTGACTATGAAGGCATCATAACCACAGAAGTCACACCATATCTCAGGTGTAGAGCAATGAATACAGAGCACTGCAAACATTGCATCAAACTGCTCTTTGAACACCTAATTATGTTTTGAGCCGACTATAGTTGAGAATAATACATGAAACATAAAATACATTTAGTTAAATAATGTAAACGGACATCATGCCTGTCTTTTGTTTAAAGACCCTGTATGACTAAATCTGTTTTTAAAAGTAGCGATGAGTGGAAAAGTGTTTTTCTCTGCTTCTCTCGGTCTCTAAAAAAAGTGAGGAGGAGTGAATGAAAGATGATAAATATATGGACGAAACAGAAGACAGTTTGTATGAAGACCTCCACTAAGTGAGCTGCACTTGTGGCCTTGGAGATCGTAGATGCCACAAGTAGGTCATGCCCTCTCCGGTTAGATGTTAGCTTGAACTGGAGCAGTGTGCCCTCATTCCAGAAAACAAGTGAAGAAATGAAGCATGTTGGTTGAGTCATGCAGTTTCCACAGCGACAAAGCAATGCCAGCGCACCTCATCATATTTTGGAACTGAAACAGTATTTATAGAAAGGCATCTATTTTATGTTAATAAATGTGTTGAAATCTTATTTCAAAAGTGTTTGGAAATTCTCCCCGTTTGAGTTGTTTGACATTAATGACACAAATTATGTACTCTGAATTTTTCTGTAGATCTGATGTGATGCAAAATGTTTTGCGCAATTAATCTATATACTTTGAGAATAGAGTTGCTGAAAGAAATCAACTTTTCAATGGCATTCTAATTAAATGAAAATGACAGTATATATTACAAAAGCAATCCCCCTCCTTGATCTATTTCAGTCTGTAATCACAAACTTTATCGTGTTGTATTTTATTGAGATTTAATGAATTAATATGTGAAAATGTGGAAGGAAGATGATGAATGGGATAAATCTTGAAGACACTAAAAATCTGCTGTTCGATCATCTTTATCCTGATAACCCTAAACAGCATTCTGTGCACAACATGGCTTTAAAAGTCACCTACTTAGAGATCATTTGTGTACAATTTTATTTCAGTGAAAATGTACCTGTGAAGGCCTTTGACATTTGCCAGAGAACTCTAGTGAATAAATGGCATCATAAAAGCCAAGAAACACAGCAGACAGGTCAGTGAGAAATCTGAGCTGAGACATTCAAATCAAAGTCTGATGATAAAATAATATCCTAGGCACTGAGCATCTCTCTTAAAACTATTCAGTCTATCATATGAAAATGGAAAGAATGTGGTACAACTGTACATACTTGACCATTTTGAATTTTCCTATTTCATCTATTTTAAAACAGCTAGTAAGCTTGCTAATTTTAATAATTGTAGTTAAACTTAACCTTGCATCATATGTCCAAGTGATCTATCTCCTGCTACATGACGTGTTTAATCTACTTGTTACACATTGAGCAATTTTGGTTTCTGTTTAACTGTCTCCAAATATCTTTAAAAAAAACACAGACACACATGAACCATGTGTGTATAAAGTGGATTACGGGTTGTGTTAAGAATATTTTTGCTCTTAAGCGATCATCACCTTGTTTCTGTGGAGCTGGTAATGGTCAGTGGCGCCATCTGTTGGTCATAGCTGAATAAAAACAAACAGACAAGTGGTACAAAGGCATATATTACAAAAGGCTACTTGAATGAGTTTGTTGGGAGCAGTGATGGTTATAAAATATTGCAGCTGCTGGGAGGAAGGACCGATGCTAACACTCTTTTGTGCATCTAAGATACATCAGTCTGTCACTGGAGCTCTCCAGTTCAGTATCAGCTTCTTCCATGGGAAGAGAAACATTATCTATCAGTGACTTTATTAGCCAGAGTCCTTCTGTCTTCAACCACTTGTACTTGTCGAGGGGGCATCGTGGGATACAGCTGGCCTGTATTATCTAACCACTTCCTCTCTACTGTTGATCTGTTAATGCTGAGATTCAAACATAAGTCGTATATTGTGTTTAGTTGAGAGGAAAAATAATAATGAATGAGAGGGGTGTGGAGTGAAAGAAATGAACATGTATTGATGCATTGTGAAATATGCACCTGAAAGGGAGAGATTTAGGAAAATAGTAAGGGCAGGACAGGAATTGAGTCTTAAATGAATATTTGGATATTTGAATATTTGGGGCTGAAGAAAATCAAGAGTAAATGCATAGCAAGGAAATCATTATTTATTTATCTTCGTGATACAAAAATGAATGTGAGTTAATGCTGCTCATGTACGATAGGTGGCGGTATCCACCTAAAGGTTACTTGAAATCCGCCATTTTAGAAAAGAGGAAGAAGAAGAAGAACGCGGAAACGAACAATCCAAAGGGTAAGACGAATTTAGTTCAAGTTTTAACATTACATGTATTATTTCTCTCTGTCCATGGAATAACTATTTTATTTTTTTAACAGAGGTTTTGGGCTGTTTGACTTCACTGAAAGAAAGTCGAGTGTGTTTGCGTGGCTTAAAAAATCGAAAGTAGGCCTAACAACTGGTTGGGACCAAAACGCCTGAGAGCATGGATGAGGAAATGTTCGAGGACACTTTGCCTCTCCGGCAGGACCTGACGTGTCCTGTATGTCAGGCGATCTTCAGGGACCCCGTCCTGCTGCCGTGTTCCCACAGCTTCTGTCGGGAATGTCAACAGAAAAGCTGGGAGTTCAACAACAGGACGTGTCCCGTCTGCAGGGTTCCCTACCAGGAGGGCAGCGCTATCAGTAACCGAGCCCTCAACGACGCCTGCGAGAGCTTCCTCAAGCAGAACAATCTGCGGCCCGTTCAGGTCCAACCCAGCGAGGAGCTCTGCAACCTGCACCTGAAGCCGCTGGGGCTGTACTGTGAGAAGGACGAGGAGCCGGTCTGCGTGGATTGTGCCTCCCAGCACATCGGACATAGGCTGTGGTCCCTGAAAGAAGGCACATCCATGTGCAAGGTAAAGCCGCCTAACAGTTTTGGAGTGTCTTCTTTACTGAAGCTCAGACAACGTGTTTTACTATTCTATAATACACTGTTAAATAAATTTACAAGACATAATAAATGGAGGAATGATAATGCTAATAGAACAAAATATGTTTACATTTTTTCCTGAGTCCTAAAGGTTTTTTTTTTCAAATACTTTTCATTTCTGCATAAATATGGAAAACAATATTGATGTCCAGACGTAATTCTCTGCGCCCTTCTTTTCATGTAAATTGTTTTATAACGTCTAGAAATGCATCAGTGGCCGATTAGATGCTCAGATGAAAAAGAAGAATTAAGAAAATAGGCGAATATGAGGTACCTAAGAAATAACTGATGGGGTTATTCTGGTACACAAACCTGTTTAACAGCAGTAAAAACCACCTGGAGTAAAACTCAATTCAGACCTGTCTAGCTGAATTCCTTTACATGAGCTGGCATATTTTGTTGCTCTGGAGCACATTGTGTTAAACTCAAGGCCTGTAGGCCAAATCCAGCCTACCTTAATGATTCCTAGAGACACTCTAGAGATCCACAGAAAAGAAAAAAGAAAACTTCAAGACAACAGTTGTGTGCTTCCGTTCCACTTTATCAGGCAAATCAAATCAGTTTCTATTTGTATTGTGCCACATTACATCAGCGTGAAAAGATGTTTAATATTATTTCATTTTTATAACTCACTGAATGCAGAGACGGCTATAGCATCGTAAAAGTTTAACAAATAGTTTTATCAAGACATTGTGCTTCCACCCCTGGCCTATTGATGACATTCATAATCTTGATGTTAATTAGATTATATGATTATATCTGTTAAGATGCAGTGGGTCTGAACTGAAGTAAACGTAATATTTCTGCTTTTGCTAAATGTTTGTCCTCTTTGTGCTTTTTCAGGCGGAGCTTGGCTTCAAAGTTCAGATTTTTGAAAAGAAAGTGGAATTGCACAAAAAAATGAACAAGAAGTTTAGCAATGCAGTGGAGTATATCAAGGTAAGGTTACTGTCACGGGGTTCATGTTATGATTCATGGGATAAAAGTTAGAATAATTATTAATAAGACTCAGACAAAACGGTTTTAATAGCAAAACTAATTAGACTGGCAAAAACGCAGATTGGTTGGAAATCAGTGATATTTTTTCTTTACAAAAGTAAAAAAATGTAATTCTACAATTTTCCATTGTAGACACCAGGAGAAATTGTATACACTGTTTTGTTTTTTCTGTCCAACTCACCACAGCATCAGGCTTCGGAAGCAGAAAAATTGATCAAGGCAGAATTTGAGCGACTCCACATGGTTCTTCACCAGGAAGAGGCCAAACGACTGGAAGCTCTGTCCAATGATGAGACGCAAAAGATCGAAACCATGCAGAGAATTATTAAGGAGACAGAGAAGGAAATTAAAGAATTAAGGACCCTCATTGACACCATAAAGAAAGAGATGGGAAATGAGGATTTGGCCCTCCTGAAGGTAACCAGGGGCAGCTTGTTTTAACATCTCATTTTGAGTTTGGGTTTTATTGTAAATCTTGCTTCAAGGCTAATTTCCCACTCATACCCCCTCTCCTGTCTTCCTCTTTGTTGCAGAATTTCCAGAATGTGAAAAGACAGTAAGTCATGGTCTTAATATGTGGTGGGATCTCAGTATGTAAACACAAACACATTTGATTGTGTGTGTGTGTGTGTGTTTTTTTTTTAAATTCATTTCTATTACAGAGCCCAGTGGGTTGAACCTGATCCAGCCTTTCTTTATGATTCCCTTATAAACATGGGCAATCATGTTGGCTCGCTGGGCTTCAACATATGGAAGGACATGAAGGATCATATCAAATATTGTATGTATAGTTACATAATTTGGGTTTTATTCAAGTAAAATGGAGGAAGTGAAACATCCTTCAAGCAGGAAGGAAATATAAATGTTTCTCTTTGTCTGTGCAGACCCAGTGGTGCTCGACCCGAACACGGCCTCCCCGTGGCTGTCACTGAGCCCTGATCTCACCACCATGAAGGAGAGCTCAGAGCGGATGACCGTCCCTGACAACCGAGAGCGCTTTGATCCCATCGTCTTCGTCATGGCGACTGAAGGATACAAAACCGGTAAACACAAATGGGACGTCATTGTCGGTGACAACCCCAAGTGGATCCTGGGAGTGTGCAAAGAGGTTTTGACCCGGAAAAAGAAGTTCACGGTCTCTTCAAGTCGTGGCGTGTGGGCCCTGGGGCTGAGTAAAGGGGTGTATACTGTCCTCACTGATGAACGTAAAGAGGTAATGGTGCCGCAGGGTCCTGAAAAGATACGCATCAAGCTAAATATGGACAAAGGGGAGGTGTCGTTCTGGGATGCGGGGAGAGAGAAGCACTTGGTCACTCTTACACACAAGTTTGAAGGGAGAATATTCCCAATTTTTGGCCCTGGCCTTCATGCTACTCCTATGGTTCTGGCTCCTGGAAAAATAGCTGTACACACATCATAAGCGACCTCCTCCCCACAGTATTACAGAAAGATTCAAGTTAATAAAATTTTGGATGAATTTAACTTAGAAAAAGAAAAAAAAAAGCTTTTAATGCAAAGTTAGGTCTGTACACCTAACTGCTAAAAGAATCTGAATTGGAATAAACAAAAATATTAGTTTGCTATTGCTGCCAAAAGTGTTTGACTGTCAAGACATCTTCAAGTGTCTGACAGTCCAAGTGTCTTTACATCTAAATGCTACATCAACTAGATTTTGATGACGATTAATATTAAGATTTTCTTTTAGAACTTATTTGTGCATAAAGTAAAACTCGCTGTTTAGGGTTCATGTTGAGAATGAAAAGCTGTTTTGCCTCTGTGCCTTTTTCATAATAAATTATTATGCAGCAAGAATAAGAAAATAAACAAGTGACCATGTTAACTATAATTGTACCACAGGAAACGCTTAGCTTTTAATATCTGTTTTGTTTTTGTGTTTTTGCCAAATCAAAACTGCATACTTGCCTTTTTACTCGTCTTGGTGTCTGATTCAATCCTTAGAAAAAACTAAAGCAAAAATGTCTATCAAAGTTCTGCACTTTAAATCTTGGCAGGGCTCTTAAATCATTTTAATTGTTTTAGTTTTTGTTTATTTTATCTTTTTTAATGGTTGTGGTGTTTAAGTATGTGCTAGCTTGATCAGAATTGATTCTATGAGGAAGCTCATGTTCTTCACTTTTTTTCCTGACTATAATGTACAGAAACTTAAAGCAGTGTAAACTGAATCAGAACGCAGAAAATGTTATCCAACACTTCAATAAAATGGGTTTTCTCTCATACTAATCATATTTTAATGTCCTACAACATGCTTCAAATATATTTCAAAATCCATGAGCATTTTGATAAGTTATCCAACTGTTCAACTATATTTTCTACTTTATATAGTGCCCTGATATTATTTTTTCACACTTTGTTAAAATTTTCATTGATATATTTTAAAATGTTCTTGTTTTCTTTTTGTCTCATTAAAGGACAAATACAGACTGTTCCTCTGGATTCATGATGCATTTTTTTTTGTCGATGACAATATTTTCACTAACGGGTACATTCTTAAAGATTTCACTGTTGATTTTAGCAGTATAATAAAAAATTACTCTCCCATTCATCTTAAATACCCAGTTATTCTTTCTGGTGGATATCTAGAGGCAAACTACACCCTGGACAGTTCTATCACACAGAGTCAAATTAAACTGCATGCATATTTTTAGACTGTGGGAGGAAGCTGGAGTCCTTGGAAAGAACCCAAGCATACTCCATGTTCCATGTTAAGTACAATATACAAGATTTTTATGTAAAATAGAGCAACAAAAGGAAGAAAATAATTCCAAAAATGCTAGATAAAGGTTTTTAATGTTTTGTTTTACAAATGGGAATATGAAAAGTTTCACTTGATTTGAAGTCTATACTTTGTATCACCCCCTTTCACTACTATTACAGTCACAAGTCTTCTGGCATCTCTCTACCAGCATTCAAAATCTGGCGACTGAATTTTGCTAATTCTTCTCAGACTCAATCTCAGTCACAATGGCTGTATAAGACCTGCTGTAGGATGTTTTTTATTATTATTAAAGCTTGTCACAGATTCTCCAATGGTTTTAGATCTGAACTTAGACTGACCCATTCAAACTAATGAATGATTATTTCTAAATCATTAGCTTTGGTTGTGTATTTAGGATCATTCTGCTCCTGGAAGATGAATCTGTTTTCTCTGACCAGACCACTTCTTTCCACATGTTGCTACTTCCTGATGTGTGTATTGATGCAAGAAGTGGCTTTTTTTATGTGGCTTTTTTTCTACAGCAGCTTTCCCCTTGTCAGTCATCCATAAAAGCTGGATTTGTAAAGTATGTAATACTTGTATTGACATTGTTGAGCTGTGAATCTCCACATTTACCAAGGGCCTCTATGGTGAGAGTAAATTAGAGGCAGACTCTCTTTTATAATTAGGGGCCGTCTGAATGGAAATATGACTGCAGCGGATTTATGAGTATCAGAGTAAACCAAAGTTATTACAAATGCATGCCACAGTTTTAAAATATTAAAACTGTCTTTTTAAAAATAGATGTTTAGTTTTACTGATAAATCCAAGACAATGTCATAAACATCACTGCTTTCTACTCACTGTGTGGCCCTTTGCTGCACAACTTAATCTGACCTTATAAAAACTAAATTTGCAGTGAGCAAGGCTTCTGTCCAGATGTTGAACGTTGTCCTCCATCTCCACTGGATGGCAGTGCTGTTACAGGCAACCTGCAGCTCCGTCTTTTGTGCTGGAAACCTCTGGTCACAGCTAGCCATCCATAAAAACCAAAACAACGACACTGAGCTCTATACCAGAGGGCTGGTAGAGTAAAGGCGTTTTAAAATGTAGTGTGGGTTTGTGGTGGAGATGATGCATAGCCAGGCGATTGTTTTTACAGAAGAGCATCGAAGATCATAACATCGTAATTACTCCGAGGGATGGTCTCTCATGGTTCTCTGCGGCCACTGACGCATCTGGATTTAGCAGAGCTCCGTGTTGCAGCCTCTATTCTCTGCAACGATTTACACTCCACTGCGGTTAGCTAGTCGAGCTAGCTTCGCCAAAAACGACAGGTCGACTCAAGCGGCTGCTTCCGTTATAATACCCATCGACAATGTAACTCATTATGCAATCAAAGAGACGGGAATTGGTAAGTATGGTCTTAAAAATGTGATAATAAACGTATGACGGCCCCTGGCAGTTAACGGTTTTCTGTCGGCTAGCTTAGCAACATTTTTCTCCTCAGCCTTGTTATGATAGCCTTCAGAGTCCCTCCTTTTTAGAAATCCTTTTCATTAACCATTCTCTCTGTTTTATGGGTAAAATACGTGCAGTGGAGAGAGGTATGAGGCTTCTCATTGCGTTTTTATTTGTTTTTAGCTCGTTACAGCCGTTGTTGCATGTAGGCTTAGCATGTAGCTACATGAAAATAGTTTTTTTTTTTCTCTAGAAGCCTGTTCGTCTTGAAGAGCAAATATGGGAGTTCGTATATTTTCGTGAATGCTAGAGTAATGCCCGGCGTTCTGACATAAACTGGTATCCTGCAGAAAAATCAGCAACATTGCGCAATCAAGACTGTGTGTTTTAATATTTCACACCTCATATTGGCTATTGACTGCTTTCATTTGTCAGATGTCTTATCCAGACTTAAATTTATGGTGGATCATGATCTTTATCAAGGAAATCTAAATCCAAACTTACTGTATGTTTATAAGGGATCATGTTTTGATAAAAATTAAAACAAGGCATTCTCCTTTCAGGCAGTGCCAGAGATGGCCTCCCCTCTCTCTGTCTCCTTTGTCATTCTGGTGGTCCTCCTGTCAGCTGAGTCATCTGTGTGCCAGGCAGGGGACTGCAAGGGCCACAGGCAGGTGCTGAGGGGGCTTCCCGGTTATGTGACTGATGGACCCGGAAACTATTCTGTTAATGGGAACTGCGAGTGGCTGATCAAAGGTAGAGTTGGTGCAAGTTGTTGTGCTTATTCACATTACACACTCCATTGGAAAAGGTAATCATAGGCCTAGAACTGTTTCACATTTTGTGATGTTACAGCTTCAAATATTTAATTTTGATATTTGACAAAGCAATATTTTCTCTTCTCTCTCAGCTCCCAGCAACGGTCATCGAATTGTGTTAAATTTCACCTTTATGGACACAGAGTGTACCTACGACTATCTGTTTGTGTACGATGGCGACTCCTACCAAAGTCCACTTCTTGCCAGTCTGAGTGGAAACTCTATGCCTGAACCCATTGAGGCCAAGTCTGGCAAGGTAACTAAACAGAAATAACATGTTAGTTGCTGGGGTTTTTTTTTATTTTTATATATATACAGATATAGTAGATGTTAATACATGTTTGCTTCCTTCTTCCAGATGCTTATTCACCTCTTCAGTGATGCTAATTACCACCTCTTGGGCTTCAATGCAACCTACACCTTCTCTGTTTGTCCTGGAGCCTGTGGCGGCCACGGCCGCTGTGATTCCTCTACATCCAAATGCAACTGTCACCAGGGTTGGGGCGGAGCATCATGTACAGCTCCTCTGTGTCCCCAGGCTTGTTCTTTGAATGGACAATGTGACAAGGTACAAAGAAAGGACATGATTCTATGACCACTCTAACAACCTCTTATTGGCTAATTCTTCAGTTGTATTTAGTGAAAAGGTCTAAAGTAAATTCTTCTGTTTTTATGAATTTAAATGTTTAAGATCGACTGGTTTTGTTTCAGAAAGGAGAGCGTTGTCAGTGTAACCCTGGCTTCCTCGGCCACAGCTGTCAGCTCGGTCTCCGTGACGACAAGGGGGCGGGACAGTGGTGGCGTGTGAGCGAGGGAAACCCTAACGTACCTCCGAGGACAGGCTCTGCTGGCGCGTACCTGTCCTCTACTGGAGCCATGTATTTGTTTGGAGGTCAGTGCAACCCACTGTTGGTGAATTTAAGTATTTACAGAGAACAAATTCTGCTTTCGCTCACTTTTTTTTTTTTCTTTTTTTACAGACTTTTAAGTTACTTGTCTTCTGTTGTTTCTTCATTCTTAGCTTTATTATAGTTTCACTTGGATCACAGATTCATTCATCTTTTGAAATATGTCAATCTTTGTTTTAGCTGCTACTCGTCCTGTTTGTTGTATACAGTCATAAGTAATAATTGAGAATATTATTAAGCATTCATTTATTTCAGTAACTCCATTCACTAAGTGAACATCAAAAGCTCTATAATGATTAGTTGCACACAGACTGATGTTAAGCTTTTATTTCTGTTACAGTTAATGTAAACATATTTAATTCTTAAAAATGTAGAATATTACATCAGATAATTTTTTTTAAAAAGTCATGCGGGTTGGGTGTTATGAAAAGTATGTTTAATAGCTGCTTAAAGCTGGTTCATTTCCAAGTTAACAAGCTCATATAAGGCTTGTTTGTAATATGAAAAATGAGCCTTATCAGAACATATCATTTTTATCGTTAGAAACTGATTTTAATACTTTTTATCTTCTATGCACAGGATTTGATCTGAACAGAGCTCTTGGTGACTTGATCAAGTACAATTTCACTTCCAACCAATGGGAAAGCAGATCTTATGGTCATTCCCCTGTAAGTATTTTTTTTTATATGTAAACACAAAATATTTCAAAAGAGACTATTTAACAATGAGATTTAAAATCGGATTTATATGTGAAATTTTGTTTTTTTAAATCATGATTATCATCTTTAGTGTAAAATGACCCATCATTAACATGCACCTTCTCTTTAATTGAACAGACTAAATGCTTTGTAAA